TCCAGCTGAACCATGCGCAAAGCACTCCGACAAGTAGCACCAGCCCAGAGGGCGCCAATGGCCGCCTTGCTGGCATGGCTCTGACTCGGCGCTCTACATGCAAGCAATCGCACCTTCTTGTGCTTCACTTCTGCGAGCCCAAAATAACAATGTCGAGATGGTTTGGATGGCTTGGATGGTTCTCACAGGATGACAAGCACAACCTGTTCGATCACAGCTGAACATACCGTCTGGGGCCCATGCTGAAGAACTTGGCTGCTTCGATATAAAGAGGGAAAGCTGGCCTGGTGACAAAAAACAGTTCTCGCCAACAAATGCTGCTATACTATCTGAAACCATGGGGCACTTGCAACGGCTGTGCTTCAAGTCATCCAGTCACATGTCACGCTCTAGCAGCTAGCATCTTGGCATGCTGCTCTGGATGCTGGATGAAGAAAAACCTGGTGTTCAAAGAAAACCCAGGTGAAGTGGAGATCCAAAAGCCAAGTTTCAGCAACACAATCCCCCCAAGCCACTCACTTGATGGACTCGTTGTCCAGTCGCATGGCAAGCGACCTTGGAAAGCGAGCAACAGCAACTGCCTGGCAGCCTCAGAGTTTGCCAGTCGTAGTTACAATGTCACACAGGTGGTCTTGCTGACAACTTTCTCCGAGGGAGCAGAACCGCTGTCACACACACTTAGGATAGGGTGTACTGAACTGAAAGCGGTGCCACACGCCGGCCTAGGGTTCCAATTCCTAAGGGTAAGGAAACCTGAAAAGGAAGTGGAGGTCCATCAAGTTCAGCGTGGCCATCTAATCTAAAGGAACCATCGAACGATCGACCGACAGAATGACGTCGTCCGCTCACATCTGCAAGTCAAAAACCAAAGCCCTATATGCGTGACTGCCGAGAGCAAACCGGTGCAAAGGCCAGAATCTTGTTGTAGCTAAAAGCAGGGACCATTGGGAAATGTGAAGTCATCACGAAGCAGGTACATGGATTCTGCGTCCAGAATCCATATCAGTGACTCGTAACAGCCTAAAATCCAAAAGGATCCCTATGGTTACACACACACACGCCTCCCCGAGGGGAGGCGAGAAGCTAAGGTGAGGGCCGATGTGCACGTGTGCGCGCACAAGAGACAAGAAAATGAAGACATGACAAGAGGACGAGACGGGACAAAGGTGCGTGTGGTTGAAATGAAAGGGGAACCAAGTGCACAGGGACAACCGATGAAGCCCACCTCATTGTAAAGACCTGGGCGACCTGAAACCTGTGTTTAAATGTGTGTAGAAGTGCACGTACACACTAAGGCCGGGACCAATGTGCGCGCAAACGAAGAAAAGGATGAGATGACCAGACATGAAGACAGGAGGACATGAAAGAAAAGAGGAAACAAGAGTGTGTGAAGGGAAAGGGATGAAAGGGGAACCAAATGGAGGGGACGAGAACCGATGAAGCCGAGCCTCATTAAAACGACCTAGGAAAACCTGCCTCGTTTGAATGTATACGCTGTATGTGCACCCAAGGTCTCGACAGGTTCCAATGAACCTTAAACAAACTTCGGTCGCTGCGACCACGTACGGCTTGCCCGTGGGCTGCCACCTCTGACCGCTACGGTCACGTAAAGGCATGAGCCAGCTTGGAATTCCAAAGATGAGACAAAATTTGAGTTCTTGCGGCATGAGCCAGCTACTGTCCGCTGCGGACACGTACATCTCCGGGCAGGGGAGATAACGACGTACCCCCGTTCAACGGGTCCACGGGAGGCACTCTGCGGGCTCATCCCGGGTTGGCACGAGGCCAAACACACTTAGGATAGGGTGTACTGAACTGAAAGCGGTGCCACACGCCGGCCTACGGTTCCAATTCCTAAGGGTACAGGCAAGGAAACCTGAAAAGGAAGTGGAGGTCCATCAAGTTCAGCGTGGCCATCTAATCTAAAGGAACCATCGAACGATCGACCGACAGAATGACGTCGTCCGCTCACATCTGCAAGTCAAAAACCAAAGCCCTATGCGTGACTGCCGAGAGCAAACCGGCGCAAAGGCCAGAATCTTGTTGTAGCTAAAAGCAGGGACCATTGGGAAATGTGAAGTCATCACGAAGCAGGTACATGGATTCTGCGTCCAGAATTCATATCAGTGACTCGTAACAGCCTCTTCGTTGGACTGCCACTGTTACAAGTCAGGCAGTCCCCCTGCTGTGACACAAACCGGAAAGGCAAACCTGAAAAATCCAAAAGGATCCCTATGATTCCAAGGGTTACACACACACACTCGAGATAAGAGTGTGTACGGTATGAAAGCCGCATGCCACACGTGAAAAAAAACAAAGTTTGCAAGTGTCGGCAAGTATGTATATATAGCCCAGGAAATGCTATCAAATGGTGCGTTGATGAGGATATATTCGAGGGCGTTAGCGGCAAGGTTCCGAGAGGGAACGGCACGAGGTACACTCGAAGGCTTGGCACGCGTGGTTGGAAAGAAAATTGCGAAAGCACGACGGCGATCGAAAGTGAGTGGGTGCGGAAGCGAAGACGCGGCGAAAGTGCAGGTGTGAACAAAACACACACACACTTGAGAAGGTTGCTCCGTGGAGCGTGATTTCAGGTAGCTTCGCGGTGTGCATTAGCCCTTTAAAGTTACTGCAGATTAGACCTTGACTGAAAAGAAAATGCTGGGTCGGTCGAACAGAATTGTTGAAACATCGAATGAATGAAGATTAAAAATTGAATTGTGCAGGTACGCTGGGATGATCAGTCCCAGTATCACCAAGGCTTAGAGAGCGTCTTCGTTGGTGGTAGACTCTCTGCCTTGCTACCACCCCCTGCTTCTGTACAGAAAAGCTTGTAGGGTAGATTAGAAAAACTAGGGTAGTGTCCTTGGAAACAGGAGTGGACACACACACTGAGCCGTATCGGCGCAACTAGATCGGATCAGGTAGGGCTTGGATAATAAATAGTGGAAGTGCTTGACATTGAAAGGTTCAATACTGTAAAATACACAGCACAGCAGTCTGCGTAAGTGCCGGCACATAGTCTTTTTCCTCTTGGCCGCAGCGCCGCGGCGCAGTGTGCTGATGAATGGCCTTTGGCCATATATAGCTGCATCAACTTCTGTGCGGTCGTGTGGGCAAGATGTTGTGGGTAAGTGTATTTTTGTAGTGTGTGGTGGCGGGATTGTAAGCCTGAAAGGCGTAGTCTGTGACTCCCTGCTGACTGCGGATCACGAATCTGCCAGGAATGGGTGGGGAGTTGGAAGGTGACGGTTCTGTTAAGAGGGTCAATCAAGAAACCGAGTAGATGGTCGTCGTCCACTGGCTCTATTTCAACTGGTTGTTCATAAAATTCAGGATGGGCCAATGTAGTGATGGGGAGTGCTGATCTGTATTGTTCGTTGAGCAAGATGTATCGGTTGTCAACGTAGCGAGTGTTGAGCAAGTGAAGGCTTGGTTGGTGTAAGAAGTTGTGGTATGTGGTTTGCCAAGTGTGTTCGATGAGCGTGATTGCCACATTGCAAAGTGCTGGTGAGAGCTGACTGCCAATGCCGGCTCCTTGAATTTGTTTGTAGTAGGTGTTGCAAGCTTGGAAAATGCATGAGTGAAGAGCTTGTTGAACGATAAGAGGAATGTGTTGTGTGTCAAGTGTGCGTTGCTGTGGGCGGTGGATGTAGTGGCGACCGATGTGTGAGTGTTGGATGGGATTGCCGGTAGACTGGACATCGATGGTGATGGTAGTGGTGTTGTGTTGTGCTTTCCAGCGGTGGCACAGGCTGATGACTGCGTCGACCAGGCGTTGTTGAGGTACGCTGTTGAAGAAGCCGACAAGGTCGTCGTTGATCGGTGTGAGGTGGATGTCTTCGGGTGTGGTCTGGAAATGGTTGTGGAGGTGTTGCCAAAGGTTGGGTATAGATAATTGGCCTGGATGTTGTGGTAGAAGATGAAGGAGCATAATGTCTAATGCTTTGGAGGTGGCTCGTAATAATGTGCCTGCGATGGATCTGAAATAGCTGATGACTGTTCTACCCTTTCGCCAGGATTTCTTTTGTTTGAGGAAAACTACTCCATGTGGTGTGTAGAATTTTGTGCGGAAGCCCCAGGGGTATGCTTTGCGAATGCTGGCTGGGAAGGATTGTGTGAGAAATTGGTGGAGTTGTTGGGCTGTGAGATCTGGTAGTGGGAGAAAAAGTTGTGGTGTATTCCATGTGGTGAGACATCCGTGGAAGTAGTGCTGTGGACAAAAGAGTCGTAGGTTTTGTAGTTCATGGTCAGCATGATGGAGTACCAGCTTGTCTGTAAGAAACTGTTGAAGCTGTGTAACGTTGCGGGATGTAAAGCGGGGCGTGTATAGAAGATTGTCGATGTGCTGTTTCCATTGTTGGTGTAGAAAAGGTAGGCTGTGTTGATGGAGGGCAGTGGGTAGACCATGGTGTCGTAGCCAGTAAGTGAGTTGTTGTTCAAAGTGTTGGAAATATTGCGTCTTTGTGGGAAAGAAAGTGCTGTTCATGTTGGCTTGTAGGAATAGCTCAAGATGGCTGGGGAGCTGTAGGTCTTCAAGTGTAAGCACGTAGTGACCATCGTAGAGCGGCGGTGTGTGGTTGGGACGAAGCAAGGTGTGCATGTGGTGGCAGCTGCATGGCATGTCAGCTGCTGTGGGATGTGTGGAGAAGAGTTCTTCCCAACGTTTGTGGTTGTAGAGCCGGGAACGCAAAGTCTTGTGTGCTGCTTCGCGTAGTTTGGTAGTAGGGGGGTGGAAGGGAATGACGTGATGCATGTGGTGTTGGATCAAGGTGCGAAGCCATTTTTCCGTGGAAGACGAGAAGGTATTGTGGGAGAGGAAAGGAATGGTGAAGGGTTTGTTGGCTTTGGGTGGAGTGAGATTGCGAAAGCTGAGCGCTGAGTGGAGAAGGTGAAGAACACGTGATCGATCTGGTTCCTCTAAGCTGGCGGCCATTCGACGGAAAGCGTAAATTTCGAGATCAGTGTATTTGCCGCTGCGGATGGCTGTTGATGTTTGAAAAGATGAGAGTGTATGCTTGCTGAGCTCGCGTAAAACGGTCAGGGCGTGTAGGCGTTGACTTGTGTGAAGGTGGGGTTGCTTAATGGTGTGTTGTCGTCGTCGGAGCCGTTGGAAGAGACGTTTGTGAGTGGACATCCGTGTGAAAGTGGTGCGGTGTTTTGAGAATTGCCAACCTGAGGCTTTGAGTTTGAGGTGTCGTTGGATATAGGGCCAATTGAGTGTAGGTTGCCATTCTTGGATCCGCAGGTGTTCGTAGGTCCATGCTTGATCGTAGGTGTCGTGATGGGAAAGGTAAATAGTGCTGTAGTGGTGGAGGTTGTTCTTGGAGTGCCAGTAGCGTAAAGAGAGTTCAGCTGAAATTGGGTGGTTATTGTGTAATTGTTTGAGTTTTGCGTGACGATTGTATTCTCGCTTGGGGATAGTGATGCTGGTAGAGCCGATGTATGTATGTCCATGTTGGTGGTACTGGTGTCTTGTGTGATGTTGGTTGAAAAAGAGCTTGGCATAAACCGCATTGGGATGTGTGAACATTTGGTAGTGATAAGTGTGTGGT